TTTCCCTGTTCCCCCCCATTTCCTTGTCCCTTTTGATATGCACTGTATGTAGTAAAATAGATTTTATGTCATCAATCAAGTACATTAAAATTTGATCTATTGAGATCTATGGGGTGTGAAATCTATAAGAAATTTTGAGTATTGAGGAGTTGAATTAGTGCAGATAAAGTCTCTAGCTCAGTGTTGATCAGCAATGCTGATGCTGATCAGTGCTGATCCATTCTGATTGTAGAAACTTTGGACAGCTCTGATCAGAGCATGTGGGGGAGGGTAAAGAACTGGTTTATTTTGGTCAATTCCCCTGTTCCAAAATGTATGTCTAAAATAGAAGAGCCAAATATATAAATAATGAGATTTTCTGTCTATTCCAGTTGGATTCCTGTGTATTCTGGTCGGATTCCACCAGAATTCCTGGAATCCGGTAGGAATCAGTGGAGGAATGGAAAGTATTGCCTCCTGAGACAGAAGTCCCTGCTAATGGGTCTTCCCGTTCTACTGGGGGTATTTTGCATGGGCATGCTGTTGGAAATTCATTCGATATAGGTGACTCCATTTATGATGCGCCACAAGAGGTCAGACCCCTTTCTAATGGTTGCATTAATATCACAATCATCCAACAACCTCCTTCTGATGTTGTTATCGACAATGCCACCTCACATCTAAATGTCAAGTCCCCCTGTTTTGAGACATTGGGCCCACTTCTGAAAAAGGTGGCCAAGAGCTATTCCCCTGTTCACAGTAAGTGTTTGATTATATATAAATATACAAAGTTTAATAAAGCTTCATCTCAGATCACAATTATTGTGTCTATATTTTGGATAAGAAGCAGTGGTCCATCATGGGCTGTTACAATGTAGTAGTTGAGGATGATGAGGATGCTATTTGGGAGGAGGATGACATTGGTAAAGTTACACATATTCTTCTGGTATGTTTTATTGGCTATTCTTGGTTTAAATTTTATTTAAATTATGTCTAGGAAAATGACCATGAGCAAATGGTCGCTTCTGTGATTCCACCATTGTTTCATCAGTGCTCTGTCTCTCTAGGCTCTCATTCAGGATCTGTTCCTCACTCTTTGTCTGTTGCTTCTGATTCTCGTGGACAGTCTCAAGCATCATCTGTTAGTAGATCTGAGGTGACTGGTCCTTCAAGGCTTTCTAGTGCCAACAAAGCGCTTCTGTTAGAATATCTTGGGATTGACAGAGATCTTGCTTCTCTGGATAAGGCTGGGTTGCCTATCAGAAGTTTAAGGCTATCATAAATGCTACACCTACAGTTATGGGCTTGAGCAAGGATGCTGAGTGGAAGTTGCAGTTTGATGATGGAGCTGCCTGGGTTCCCAACATTGTTGACTTTATCCATATCTTTATCGCTAAGACTCAGTTCTACCAAGTCTGGAAGCCTACATTCCTAAGAGCAGAGGAATATCCAGATATGCAAGACTGGCTTAATGAGGAGGATTGCCTTACTAGTGAGGATTTGTGGGACATAAGGGGCAGTTGAGTGCTGAGCTTTCCTGATTTGAAGAAATGGCTTGACAAAAAAGATCGTGAGGGAGAGTTGAAGAAGCGTGATGTGAAGGGGAAGAGGAAAGCTCCAGACAGTCCCAAGAAGAACAGAGATAAAGGTCGACCAGTAGTGCAGAGAAAGCACAAGAAGCTAAGGCAGGCAAGGGATTCAGATGAGGAAGCTTCTGAGTAAGTAGGATTGTGACTTTTTTCCTTTTTTTTTTTTCAGAATATGCTTCGAATTTGAATGAACTGATTTGTACAATAGTTTTACTTGTTTTTTCAGATCTACTTTTCTGTTTGTTTCAATGGCAATGGTTAAGCAGCAAGCAGAGTGGCGTAAACATGCAAAGAACAGTAAACATCACAACCAAGCTGGAGTCCACTGAATGCTACAACGCCCAGGAGAGAATAATCCTTGGGAGCCTAATTGCAGAGGACCAAATCCCCAACAACATGATGATCCAAATGCAGAACCAGGACCAGCTCCAAATTACTTCCATGCAGGTAGATTCTATTGTGTTGAAACTATCTGTGTGCCTTGTGTTGTTGTTGTTGCTTGGACAAAGTTTGATAAATCAGAATCACCAACAAATATTTTGAACTTCCTAGGAAAAGTTTATCTAACAGAAGAATCAAGGCCTGATTATATTTGTATTGATAAAGGTTGTCAAGTGTTTGCAACTGCAGTAGCAAATGGAAGTTGGGATATTTGGAAAAAAACTACTCGATTTATTGTGGATGCCTACCACTATATCAATCATCGGGTGTTAGACTTTCTATGCCAAAAATATTGTAATCCTTCACCTGGTAGTTATGGCATATGATAAGAATGGTAGAGCATATTTAAAGTGAGCATTCAATACACAGGTATTTATTAGTTTATTTTGATTAAATCTTACCTCAACACTATATTTATTCTAGGTTTGCGAACAACTTAGTGCATGGCTTGGTGGATATCAATCAATTCTTAAATGTATGACACCTGGCAATTTTAACTGGTTTTTACACACCATGTTATTCTACCATACAAAGTATGTCCTCTGCAAACAAGAGATGAAGAAGTCAGAGGAAGATGAGGAGGAAAACTAGGTTTGGATGAAGAAGCTCAAGATAATGAGGATAACTAAATAGTAGTAAAGAGAAGTGTGCAGAAGTGTATATTAGTGTAAATTTACATATACTTGCATTTAAATATTGATTCCAGTCTTATTCCAGTGGAATTCCACTGGAATGACTGGATTCCTGCAGGAATAGGTGGGGCACTGTAAAGTACTGACCTATTGCCATGTCATGTCAGGCGACATGGCAACCAGATGACAGTGACATTGATATTCATCATCATTCGTCCAGGTGGCAAGGATCCCACTTGCTGCCTCTCACTTTTTTCTATTAGTTCTTGACGAGGCGGCAGGATTCCCCCTGCCATCTCATTTTTCATTTTTCTGTTTCTTTTTTGTTTCCTTTTTTGTTTTCTTCCTCTGGAACCAAATGAGGTGACGTTGAATCCCACACACCACCTTGTTTGTTTGTTCTTTCTTAGGCAGACTATGTAGAGTATAATTATTAATTAAATAAAATTTTCTGACCATGGAAATGGGAAGCTCTTTGCCCTGGTATCCTCACTGATAACTAAATGATATCAAGAGAAGTGTATATTAGTATAAGGGTGCAGAAGTGTATATTAATGTATATCAGTGTAAGAGAAGTGGATTCCTACAGATTCTGGCCCAATTCCTGTGGATTCCAGCAGGAATGGGTGGGGCACTGTAAAGTACTGCTTAGCCACAGGATCAACAGTCTCCTGATATTTTCCACAAAGATAAGTGAAATGCCCCTTGACAGCATTGAAAACAGCTTCATATGGGGGCTCCAGGCTTGTGGTGGGGATGATGCTTACAGCACCCGGTATTGACTTCTGTAAGACCATTTTTCTCATCAAGTACAATGCGGCTTACCTTTGAGTTTGCTACAAGGGATGAAACAATGGTGTTGATAAATTTTGCATTCTTGGCATCCTCTGCATCCATTGTTTCCTTACACCAGTACGGATTCCACAGGTTATAACCTTCAGCTGACATCCATGCAGGCATGCCAGGTTCGAGAGGCATGGGAAATTCTAGTGCCATCTTTCCATTAACTCGTGTATGAGTCACACCCAAGAGCACACACATCGTCGTTTGAACCATGTTCTAATAAGAGTCAATCAAAATAGAATGGAATAGGCTAGGTTCCCTCACCTCAAGTGGCTATCATGTTGCTTACGAGGTTTCTTAGCAGTTGTAGTCCCTGGACCTCCAGCCCCATTCAAGATGGGTGACACGACCTTGTTTTCAAGCTCAGAAATCTTGTCCAGGAGCAACAGGTAATCAGCAGCATGCTTGGCAGCAAGTTCTGCAAGTTGAGTTTCTGCCTTCTCAGCTCTGTTTGCTAATGAAAGCAACATTTGGCTCAGGTCTGTTGACTGCCCAGATGTGTTCAAGATCATCATCCCACAAGGCCTCAAAGACCCAAAACCACGGTTCAGGTTTCCAGGACCATGAGGGTGTCCAGTGCTGTCACTATCAAGATGTGTATGTTTGAATGCCTGGGTGTATGCTCCCCCTGATTGATGTTCTTGCTGATAGTACATAGTCAGGGACATTCCCATCATTCCATGGTGGTTTCTGTTGGTGGGAAAGGGGGTAAGTGGTGAAATTCCATGCATTTGTTGACTCTCGTGAACTGATGGAGCATGAACAGGTGTCGACATCCCAAATGGCCTATTTGGTGTTAGGCTTGGCTGCTCATTGTTGAAGGATAGGTTCATGGAGGATCTAGTCAGTGATAGGAGGTATCAATGTTGCTAGTACTAGTACTGGCGCTTTTTTCTCTCTTTTTTTCAATCACCTCAGAAGTGAATGTAGTTTTCGCAAGTTCAGTTCAGTCCAGTTTTTTGCCCCCAAAACGCGCAACTGTGGACCGAAACTGGTCTAGGTCCGACCCAGATATTGAGAGAACCAACCAAACCACCTAGGACTGGTCTTTTGCAGTCTATGGAACTGATTCAGACCGATCTAGACCGGTTTTTTTGGGTATAATTTATTATACAAATATAAACCATTCGTACCTCAACTATTATTACTCTGAAAAATAAATGGGTTATATACCATAGTAAAGCATGTAAATGCCCGTCATTCTACCAATTTCTAAGAGATTTAATGAAGATTTGACATAGCTATGAATGAAACCGAATTACATCTCCTAGAGACTCAGGTAAAATATGGATCTGGTTATATCTTTCTCAATTCTTAACCGTTTTTGATGAAACAAAAACCCAATAAAAGGTAATAAACGTGGTTACAAGGCTATGTAACGCACCTGACAATTTAACTGGTTTCAACCAATTAAAACTGGCCTTTGAACGGTTTTAAAAGATTTTTGAAATGAGGCAACCAGCAACTGGACCAACCCCAAATTGGGGCAACTGCAACTGAAAAAAAGACCGGACCATGGTCAGTTCAGTTTGGTCCACTGGTTTTTTTCTGTCCTATGGACTGAACCTTTAAACACTAAGTGAACAATATTTCAATCAGTTGAATAGACATGAAAAGATGACATTTTCTGTGAAAACTAAGTCCAGAAACATGAAAGGTTATCCAAGAGAATTGGACATTGCCCACATTGTTCTATGAGATATACATGTTAAAAGATCAGACTTTTCACCCAGGGAAAGCTCAAAAAATGGTGTAAAGTCCAAAACAAAAAAAAAAGTAGCAAAAGTCTGTTGTACTTGTACTGTACTCATCCCTGTCAAAAGTATGGAAACACATTGAAATAGCTTGTTCTCACTCAAATCAGCACCAAATGACTCCAAATAAGTTGTAGACATAGAAGTTAGAGTTATTGGGTCCTGAATCTGAGGATAGAAATTTACCAAATAAGGAAATATTATAGATATTGTCTCTACAGTAGATGCTGCAGAACACAAGCATGCTAGGAGATTTTTTGTAGCAAGGTTTATGTACACCACTCAAAAGGGGTTGAAAATAGAGTAGAATCCATCTTTGGT